CAGGTTTTATTTTAGTTGCCCGTTGATGGGCAACTATAGAGTAATCGTTCCCCGTGTGTTTTTGTTTCTGTTTTGTCTGTTAACAGTCTAGAGCTTTACAGGAGTTTGAAGCTTCATACATGACCTCGGTGTGGTTCCTCCTCAGAGCCATCAGATTTTTAGGGTCAATACATGCATTGGCGAGGTCAAAGGTCACATATCCCCCCCCAAAAAAGCTCTGTATGACTGAAAATGCACAAAAAGACATTAATATACTGACTTAGGAAGACATTGGATGCCTATGGGCGATGTAACATATGACCTTGAGGCAAAGGTCATGGTCACACTGGAGGTCTTACATCATCACCAATTTTAAATCCATTACAACTTGGAAACGGTGTCACAGTTTTTTTATTACTATCAGATAGGAACCCGTATTGGCGGCATCATGCGGTGATAAAACTGTAAAAATCAAGCTGTCTAGTCAGCATCTTGATATGCCACCAGTGAGGTGGATGGATTATCTCAGCGAGGAGAAGTGCTCGCTACCACAGGTTTAGACAAATTTGTGAACAATATTTGAGCGAAGTAGGTCTTTGGTGTTGATAGAAAAACTCTCAGATCTTTGAGGTCAGCTCATGAAAAATGGGAGCAAAACCAAAAGTGTTATAGTTGTGTTCAGTGTATGTTTTAATTATAAGGTGAGCATATATTACAGCTGCGGCTTCAGACTGCCCTGAACAACGGGTTTCTGACAGTTTTTTTTCACTTTATTCGGTCACCTGTTGCAGACACAGCACATATCTGAACTCTTATTGAATGTATGTACACATTCTCCCTCCACAGATGCTGCTGTTAACGGTGGCATGTACAGAATACTGTCTGTGACTGAAAGGCTAAGACCTGATATGTCATTAAGCAGGTAACTGTCAGGTGAACTGTGGTTTTAACCCACCTTGAGGGAGCCAGGTCCTTCACTCGTCTTTTATTCATTGATTTTTTTCATCTGCTTTTAATTGCATTTAGCTGCACATTTTAGCAGAAGGATTGAGGGACTTCCACAGCCTGGATCCTGGTCTTGTAGTCTGGCTGACTGACTTTTTAATGGAGCGGCTACAACGTGTGAGAGGTAATAGTGATCTGTCATCTCCTCCATTGGATCACCACAGGGCTGCATCCTCTCACCCTTACTGTTTGTTTTATATACAGATGAGTGCCGCAGCCAGCATGTAGGGCGTCACTTTGTCAAATTCGACTCAGTTATCGTGTCCCTGCTGAGCAGCGATGACCTTGATCACAGACCTGCAGTGATGGACTTTACTGACTGGTGTTGGTCTTCCTTCTTAAACATTAACACAGACAAAACAAAAGAAATGCTGACTGACTTTTGGAAGAATCCTCCAGACATCTCTCCGGTCAGCACTGAGAACCAGGCAGTGGAGCTGGTTAATAACTACAAATACTTTGGCTACTCACCTTGATGACAAGCTGTCGTTTGTTCTTCATGTTGATGATGTGCAAGAAGGCCCACAGCACATGTACTTTTATAGGAAGCTTCATAGTTTTAACTGTTTCTTTTTTACTCTTGCATCATTGAATCCATCTTGACTTTCTCTTTTATTTGTTGGCACGGCTCCCTTTCATTCAAAAATAAAATTGCAGGGTATTGTAAGACAGCAGAACTGCAGGGATTAACCTGACTGACCTCTCAGCCCTACGGCCCGTTCAGTCCTTACAGATCAGAGCCAACCCTTGGCTTGTGAGTTCCTGCTGCGTCCGTCATTGTGCAGGTACATCCTGCCAAAATGCAGGACTAACAGATGCAAGTATTCTTTTGTCCCTGCTGCCATTGCTCTGCTGAACAAGTAGATCTATTTTCTGTTTTTATCTATTTATCATTGTCTTTTTGTTATTTATTGTTCTTTCTGTGCAATTGTTGCACGGATTGATTTCTTTTACTGCTGCCTGCGTATCAGATTACCCCGCCGGGATGATAAAGACTCCTTGAACCTCGAACCTTGTGAGCATATCATAAAATGTACATTTATTAACAAAAGCAGTCTTTGAAGGCGAGCCGGCTGAGGGCTGGCCATGATCAGCAGGTGGCCGTGCCAACAGTTCCATATGGACGTGAAGGTTTGAGTACTTTAAACACAACAAGGCACACAGGAGGATCTGCACATGGAAGCATAATGGAGCAGAAGAGCTGCAGACAGGAAGCACTCGAAAAATTATACTCCGAGGTTCAGCAGGGCAGCTGTGACTCAGGTGGTGGAGCGGGTTGTCCTCTAATCGTAATGTTGGGGTCCTTGAACCCCAAGTTGCTCCTGATGGCATGCAGGCACCTTGCATGGCAGCTCTGTCACCACTGGGGTGTGAATGGGTGAATGAGAAACACACTGTAAAGCGCTTTGAGTACCTCTAAGGTAGAAAGGTGCTCTATTAGTGCACCATGAAGGCCTGAGAGTCACTGTGACACGACCAAAGTCATGGACCGGTCTGGAACAGGAGAAGCCAGGGTTTCATAGGATGACCTGCAGGTGTGTCGCATCCGGCGGTGCAGAGAGCCACAAACCGAAAGAGGATGAAGTGAACAGAAAAAGGCAGGGGGAGAGTAAATACAGAACACGAACCTCAACAAATGGTCCCAGATGTACATCTTGCATACGCACCTACCCCAAACCATTCTGGACGGCAGTTTGCTCAAGTGTTAGTAAAGCAACAGGTCAGCAGGTGTCAATAGAGCCACTGCTTGGGAAGGTCCCTGCTTCTCCTAAAGCAAATGAAGATGTAATTCTTTTAATGTTAGCAAGAAAAGCCATCATGGTAAAGTGGACGCCCCTGCTCTCTCTGTGTGGAAACCCCTGATCTCACAGGTGGTGACTCTGGAAAAACTTGGACATGAGATGAATGGAAGGACTCGTTGTTTTCTGCAGAAATGGAGGAAGCTGCTGAAACCTTCAGGAGTTGATCATAACCTGGACTTAAATCTGTAATATGATGATCAGTTGCCATATTTTTGAAAAGGGAACAGAGAACATGGGTTTGACTCATGGTTTATCTTTACTGTTATATTCCACCACATAATACCGGCTACTGAATTGTGTCTGCTGCTGTTTGTGCATTTGTGTTGTAAAGACAAAAAATGTAATGAACAGAATTTACAAAAAAGAAAAAACATCCAAAGTCCAATGTAAACCCGTTGACTGAGAGTGTGTGATGCTCAGAGTGAAGACTTGTACAATCTGTTGCACAATTGTTGTGTAATTGTTGAGTTGTACAATCTGAGGTGAACCTGCCTTTACCCTGAGTCTGCTGCGCTGTCAGACTGTACCTGAGCATGCTTCTATTTTTTTTCCCCAGAAACTACTGTTTTCATGCAAAGGCTCAACTGAGGGTCTGCACGATAAGCAGGGCGAGATAAATGAACGACTCATGCAAAGCTACTCTAGTGGAGTCCCAGACTAAACAGTTCCATTTTTTTTGGAGCAGGTTGTATTTGCCAAGCTTAGGAAAAAAGTCAGAATATTTTTAACTGTAAAATAACTTTAATGTTTGACCAGTACAAATGTACTTTCAGTTTCTTACGAACCCAAGAGAGTCGGGCACTTGGTGTGCTTGACACAAAAAGAAAAGAAAAAAAAGATGTCATGTTGAGATAGGGGGCTGCAGGGTGGCTCAGTGGTTAGCACTGTTGCCTCGCAGCAAGAAGGTCGCCGGTTCACGTTCCGGTGGGGGCACCGGAATCTTTCTGCGTGGAGTCTCCATGTTCTCCCCGTGCAGCGTGGGTTCTCTCCGGGTTCTCTGGCTTCCTCCCACACAGTCCAGAAACATGTTGAGGTTAATTGGTGATTCTAAATTGTCTGTAGGTGTGAATGTGAGTGTGCTTGGTTGTCTGTCTCTAAGTGTGGCCCTGTGATAGACTGGTGACCTGTCCAGGGTGTTCCCTGCCTTCGCCCTAAGTCGGCTGGGATAGACTCCAGCCCCCCCGCGACCCTAGTGAGGATTAAGCGGTGTATAGATAATGGATGGATGGATGTTGAGATAGTGTACATCTACGCCAGGTTTACTCAGCTCAACTGTGGCTCATACAAACTGAAATGAATTGGCTTCAAGCTGTGATGTATTCCATTTAATTCTGATGTCCTTTGTGTCTTTCTAGCTGGTCATGAACGTTATAGATCCCATTCTGAGAATCGCCTCAGAGATCCGCAACTTGGTTGGCAGAGTGCAGGCCAATAAGGAGCGATGCTACCGTGTTGCCCAACGAGTCAAAGCCTTGGAGGAGCTGGTTCGGCCCATCCAGCAGAGGGAGACAGTCAGAACCTGTGTGGAGGTAGAAAAAGCCCTCAAGGAGCTGTGCATCACGCTGGAGTCGGCACAGGAGCTCATTAAAAAATACACACTGGCCAGCTGGGTGCATCGCATCCTGAACTCCAACAACCACGGAGATGAGTTCAGCAGTGTGAACGAACGTCTTAATGACGCCTTCCAGATCCTGTCCGGAGCTCTGCAGGTGGAGCAGAGCAGCATGCTGCACAAGGTGTTTGAACTGGCCTCCAGAGAAAAAGAAGATGAGATGGATCGGAGGGAGGATGAAAAAGAGCTGCAGAGATGTGAGACAAACTAGTTGTGGCTTTGCTTTTGTAGAGGTCCAGCAGAAATCAATTAACTCACCTTGAAGTGATCACAGCTCTTTAATCTTTTTGAGAAACTTTTGTTGATCCAGAACTGTTTAGCTCCACGTCCCAAAAGCTCTGATTGAAGTTGATCCTGACTGGAAGCAAACTGACTGAACTCTGGCAGAGTCTGGCCTCCTTTGCATCATGACTGTTTGTTTGTTCCTCAGTGCTGCTGGAGTACATGAAAGATCAGAAGGAGAAGACAGACGCCATGCTGAGACAGTTTGAACACGTCAAAGTCAACGTGGAGAAAGTCGTGGCCATACGTGAGTACATCCTAACTCATGTTTACTGTGTGTCAGGGCCAGTCTGAGGCTTGCACACATTCACGACGAAAGATTTCATGATCACAAAATAACATGTAGAGTTATGCAGTCAACAAAAAGTGTCAAAGTCTGAGGCTGAGGGAGGTGAAGTGCCACATACAGGGAGGAATACCTCAGAAGGGAAAAGACTAAGGAAACAAAAGGATTAGGAGCAAGGAGACCATGATATTCAGCCAAATTACAGTGATCAAGAAATCACAGTGTTTAAAAAAGCAGGTTTCAAAAAACTACACAGAGTTCTCTGCTCTGAAAAAATATGGGCGCGTCTGCTGAAAGTACTGATTGGCAGCTTTCACAGCAGCACAGATGAACTGTGCTAACCAAGCAAACAGACAGGAGCTGGTCTGAAACAAAACAAACATGTTAGATGTGAAATCCCGGCGGTGTGCTGTGGATGCACAGTATTTACCTGCCATCATAAACTACCTACACTCAGTGACAGGAGTGTACTGCCAGCAGTGACACCAGATGATGCAGAGAGTCAGTTCGTAAAACTCACACCATCAGTCCACCTCTTCTTCAACTTATCATTCAGAGGAAATTTAAATCAGGAACTGTTCTGCTAAAAGTTGCATTTGCTGGACAAAAGCATAGCTCGCTGGAGAACTGTAGAAGATGTAGCGTTCGATGGGGCAGGAGGTGCAAATGTGCTCCAGTTTTTATAGTGTTTCAGGGAGAGTTCGTCTTTTACATCCAGTCTATGGCTCACACTGTTTTCTGACACATACTAGAAGCAAATCTCTGGATTTCCTTTACATAGACTTCAACCAAACCAAAACCAGAAAAAAACTAAAATATGTTTAAGATTTTGGATTCTTTCAAGTAGCCACTGTTTGCTTTGATGACAGTTTTACTCACTCCTATCACAGACTGGCAGTAAATGTAATGTGACATTAAAGTTTATCTTATCTCCTCTTATCGTTGTACTTTGTGTGTGATCACAATAAAAGCAGTCTGTTCTTTTCTATCTTATTAGGTAACATAACAGACAAAAAAAAGTTCCACACAGAAACATGAGCATCGATCCGATGTTCAGATGTTTCATAAAATGTAAAATAGTCTTTTCAGCAGACACTCTGCAGAGAGGTAGCCATCACAGAGTGGAAACCAGAAAACATTAAGCCTCCAGGCCTGAGAAATAAAGCCAATGCAGACACACCAAGAGCTGCAGGTGTTGTGGAAATTTTTGCTATAATCTTAATAAGGTCCAGAAGTCTGAGTTGTCTTTGTCTTGTTTTATTCAAAGCTTTGAAGGTACCAGTCATACAGAGTGCAAGCAGTCTGCAGGAGAGTACACATGAGTGCAGGCAGCGTGGTATTCTTATACATGTACAGGCTTCGCTCCAATGGTAGTATAACAATCTCGTGCTTGATAATCAACAGCTGGGGGTCCAGGGTGCACTCATCCACAGACATTAGAAGACTAAACACATTGGATGCAACAAGACTGTGTTTCCTATAATCTTCTTGACATGAACAACTTCTTCTTCCTCCTGTACGGTCACTCATCTGTTACCTAGATGTGATGAAAACACATTTCCTCTCATTGGGCCTGTAACCTTTACACTCAGCTTTAATGAAACTTAGTGAAACTTGCTTTGACATTCTTCATGCAGATGCAGCATTTTGCCATTACACAGGTCTTTGAATGTCTCCTTAAAGCTGGAGAAACACCCTCACCCCCAATTTCACATCGATTACAAACTGAAATGTCCATGAAAATAAAACTTTACTGCAATGAAGACAGAGACTGTAACAGGTTAGATGAATAGGACCCAGTAATAACGAATGCAACAAAACATTAACGGAAGTCCAGTTTGTAGGAGTCTCTCCTCTGAGTTTACTGAACACCTGCAGCATCAAGCAGCAACAGGATCCATACAGGCATCTCCAAACAGGGAGTTGTCCACATTTATGGATGTGAAATGACAGCAGCAACATCATTAATTACTTTGAATTCTATATGATTCCCAACATGAAAACAGGCAATAGCTTATAGCTGAGCAATAGCAACATAAGTGGGAAATGCAGTAGGCTCAGCAAAACTGGAAATAATCTCTAAATGATGTCACAGTGTTTTTAGAACTTGTCCCTGATGCCTGCAAGAGGCCAAATATGTGCTACTGCAGGTTTAAAACACTTTAACAAGTCACATGGCCGATATTGGGAGAGTGCTGAATCTAATTAGTGACTGTGTTTTTACAGTGAAGAGGCCCAAGGTCACTAGTGTGGACATCCGGATGATTAAACTGGACGAGCTGAAGTACGAACATCCCAAAAAGCCTTTCATGACCACAGCCACCTCAGAGGTCTACAGGGGGGAGTATCATGGATTTGCAGTGGCGATCAAGAGATACATCAACCCGGTGAACACCAGCCCAAAGTGAGTCCCACAGCTCAGCACACACACCGTCCTGGAATACAACACAGGAAAACAGCTGGTTTTTAAAAATTTTAATCTGTATTTGCCTGACTGCAATTAAACTCTGTCCTCCAAAATGCAGCTTGGATTTTGACATGCACCAGGACCCCTGTTTGGTCGAATAGATCCCGATAATTATCCCCGTGATTATCACTGCGCCTGCTCCAAAGCTGGAATAATGTCATTTTCATTGCATCACGTAGGATGAATAAAGGCTGTTTAGATCACACAGATGGACTCATAAGCTTCAGGCTACGGGGAAATGAAACAGGGTTAGTAGTATATGGATATAAACTGAATAGAAGATATGTAATAGAACAAGTATCGGTGTGGACATAGAGTATACAACAGCAGCACTCAGATGTCAAATGATTCATCTGACCAAAGAATGTGCTCATTTATCCATCGGGCTTCTTTTTTATATGTTCTTTAGCAAAGTTTCATTTAGTATTTTTGTGCCAAAGAGAAAGCAGCTGTTTTTTTCCCTTGTACACCATCCATAGAGGCTGATTTTATGCGAGGGGGCCTGTTTTTTTTATTTTTTATTTTTACAAAGGCATCTTTAAGGTGTTTTTTTATTGCTCCTAAGAGGAAGTTCTCTGCTGCTGTTCAACTTAACAATAATGCAATAATTGAGATGTGATATAAGTTTAAATCATTTGACATTTAGGTGATATCACATAGAGCCACTTCTGTTGGATACTGTAGGGCCGTCAGATCTGGTTTTATCGTATAAATCACAGTGATGTTGGCTTGAGTGTGTCGTTACAGATCAGCACCTTGTCACCTTAAACCTTTCCTCCGTCTGTAGGGAGGTGAGGTCTGTTTTCAATAAGGAAGTCGACACCATGAAGCGGTTCGAGTCGCCCAACATCCTGCGAATGTTCGGCATCTGTGTCCATGAGAGCAGTGAGTATCCTGCAGCATGTAAACCACACAGAGCCTGATGCTCTTCAGATTATAATAATGTGACTGCCTGCAGGACCCAACCCCGAGTTCCTCATCATCATGGAATACTGTGAGAAAGGAAGTCTTCGCCAGTTTCTGGACTCTGGTTGCAAACTGTCTTGGACCAGGAAGGCTCGTATCTGTCTGGGTGCAGTCCAAGGACTCTATCGGTCAGTTTGCAATGACTTCCTGTTTGTCTCCT